GTGTGTGTGTGTGTGTGTGTGTGTGTGTGTGTGTGTGTTTGTGTGTATGTATGAAATGAGATAAAAAATGAAAATAAAAGCAAGATAATGTGCAGAAAAATATGAAATCACAGGAGAAAACAGAGGCTAGAGAAGTTCCACTTTAACCATGTTTTAGGGCTCCAGACTAACTTGTTTGTTCAATTGATATAGTTCACAATTACATTTAATTTTTATTCATAAGAAACACAAACAATGGCCGATCACCTCTACTCTTAATTACAGATGCAGTCTGGAGACCTGCTTTTAAAATGTCACCTCACTCTTTAAGATTTGGATATAAAGCACCACCTTAACTGTCTTTGTTTGATCTTTTAATAGTGCTGACAGATGATGACACACGAGAACTGAAGCTTTGGAGAACAGTGACACAGCTTCATCTGACGACAGCGAAGAGGAGCATCCTGATTTACCTGAGCCCTTGACTGCTTTATTTAGCACATCATCCAGGGACCTCACACCTCAGGAACTACAGGTGACGTGTGAGGAGAAACGTTTCACGGGCTAAAAAAACTAAACCACAGCCCTATCAGTGTGAAAAACTGGAAGCTGTAACCCCGACAGCAGTCACAGTCAAGAGAGTGGCACATCCATAGGGCTGGTGGGATCACAAGCATCTGATGGATATAATGCAGCACGACCAAAAAGCATTAAATGTTCCATCTGTACTGTGGGGATCAAAACATGGAGGAAACTGCACAGTTATGGCCAAAAGTCACAAACGTTTCTGTGTGACTTCCTGTGGCCTTCTGAGCCACACCTTGCCTCATCACCAGACGGCACAGGAAGCTGTAGCTGCTGTGGGAAGAAAGTGTCCGCACGAATACCTTCAAAACTTTGATGGATGTACACAAGACACTCATTTCTGTTTGGACAAATCTTTCACTTTAAAGCAGTCACACATACGGCCATCAGACTCAACTCCACATGTTTGTGTGTAATGTTAACTACTGTGACTTTGTGCTGTGGTCAACAGCACAAAGTAGCCTTTCTTGTGTTAATTTTGTGCCATACTGTACATACATGTACAGTATAGCACACATGGACAGTTTTTACTATTAAATACTATACTACTAAATTATATGCTTATTGTTACTGAATGCTGTTTATATACTTATTTACTTCAGTACATCAACACTTCAATGCTTATTCCAAGTCATGTTTATCAAATTCTACGTCACTTAGAGATTTTCAGAAAGCAGGACTACAACAAAATGAAACATTAACCCATCTTTTCTGGGACTGCACAATTAGTAAAAAAAATTTTTGGTGTGACCTTAATTTGTTTTTTAATAGTAAATTTGATATTCCTGTTAAACTGAATGTAAAACATGTTTTCTTCTGTGTCTTTGATTTTAGAATCCATCCATCCATCCATTTTCTGTACACGCTTCTTCCTTTTCATGGTTGCGTGGGTCACTGGTGCCCATATCCAGCAGTCACAGTGCGAGGGGCGTGGTACACCCTGGACAGGTCGCGAGTCTATCACAGGGCTGATTTTAGAATGCCTGGGATAAAATATGTCATGAACTTTCTCATACTATTGGCTAAATTCCACATTCATGCCAGCAAATTTGCAAAACAAAAGCCCAATCTCAATGTTTTAGGGCCTATCTGAACAGTTTTTTGGACTCACTGAAAATCTGCACAAATTCTAAAGCTGTAAAACTGAAACATTTAAGTGAAGAATTTAAATTATAA